TTTACAGATATGATTTCTTGTGCTCTACAATTTAATAACCATGCAATATTTACATTTATGTTTTTGAGGTCTTTCCCTGTCTGAATAAAGAGTCAGTTTGACTAACCAGTATGTGGCTAAACCTTTTTACAGGCTTCAGATTTTTCTTCACCTTTTATATATTCTGTGTTCTGTTTACATACTTTAATATTAATGCCAAGAAAGGCTCATGACACACAAGACTTGAGGAAAAAAAAAAAAAAAACCCACAAACCAGTAATTTAACATTTAAATTTGTCCATAAAGAAGGTGAACAAACATTTTTTTCTCTATATATATTGCAGATTGACTTAGCAACAAACATGAAGGTTTATATTACCGGGACTAATTGCAGGACTTCATAGTCAGTTTTTATTTTGGTGTCCATGCTCCTAAAGTTATGCTCTTCTTTGTTTCTGCATCAACTAACCACCTCATCACCCTTCCTGACTAAAGGACCCATTTCACAATTAATCTTCAATTACCTTCTGTGAAAAGGGCATGTTTACCAGTGTCAGTGATCTCATAAAGCTAAATCAATGCTTACAATTTTAAGATGGGCACGTAAAATACCATGTAACAATTTACTATGCATTCATGTGCACAAAAGCTTTTTTCAGTTGCTGTTTTTCAAAACCCTTAACATGCATAATCCACATATGAAAACAAGGTAACTTTAGTTAAGACAAGTGCTTTTGTAGACTAATATTTTTTAAAATATATTAATAACCAAGCAACCATTCATGATCTTTAAAGCTCTGACGATGTAAGGAATCAGCTGGTGAAGAGACATCTTTTCCCATTACAGGGTTCCCCCACGGTGGCTGCTGTTGGTGAAACCATGCTCATTCAAACACAGACAAAGCTGCAGGAGTGCTATCCAGCTGCCTCTCTTGATAAGATTGACAGCACAAGGTGATACTGCTCATGTTTAATGTGGCATTTCAACCATACCCAGTTCAAACAGCAACATCTTAACTCATCTACACAGACGATTTGATTCCCCCCATGCTACCTTTGTATCTACTTGGAATCAAAACTTCCATTCACTGCAATTAATAATTATAATAATTTTAAACAGCAAAGAACACATTTTATAATATAGCTTAAAAAAAAAGTTACACAAGGCAGTAAGCCTCTTAGGCAAGATATTTTTTCAAAGAGCAAATACTGTAACAAAAACTGTTACGAATAGAACTAATTCTTTTCTGAGGAAATGCCCATGATTTGTCTCTCAAAAATGGCATCTTGAAGTCTAATTATTATACTCTATGAAATCACCATAAAAATAAAATCAAAGCCTCTAAGCAGAAATAATACTTTTGGCTCTCTGAGGAGTCACACCTTTTTATTTACCTAGTACAAACACAATCAACATTCCTCCTCAAAAAAGCACTGTACTTCATCTATAAGGACAGCCAAAATTCATTAGAAAATATTTTTGTTGTGCTCCAGAATACAATCAGGATCTTTTTCCTCATGCTGACCAACACCTAGTGTATATTTTTTCACAATGATGTGGTTAATCAAAACCCAGTAAAATTATTTTCAGGTTTCATAAATAATTCATTATTGCATTTTTACATACAAATTGCCTCTATTTTTTCAAGGAAAAAAAAAAATAAATAGCTATTTAAAACCAAACAACAAAACAGTTGTATAAAGAATATTTTAAATACACTGGATTTTCTTAAATGTGCAAGTGAAAATAACCAATGCAGGAAACTATATAACTTAGCTGACCTGATTTTAACTCTCATAATAAATATTTTTAAAATTTTATTTTCATAAACAGCTTAATTTTCTTGTATTCCTTCTTCTAATTTCAAATTTAATTGGGCTGTAATTACAAATCTTCTCTGTCATATGCATAGCAACCTGTTTCATCTTTGTCACTACATATTAAAAGTTAGCATATGCAACTTCTTGTTACAGACCTTGAAATAACCTTTGACAGTTCAACACACTACAAAATGAACTTTTAAAGATGACCTGGAAAACCAACAGGAAAATGAAGCTCGGTTCAGAAATAGATGCCATGTACCTCCAGCAACTAGGCAGTAAAAGAGAACTATGGTCTGGTTTATCACTCCTAGCAGTATTTCCTTGCTGCCAAACCACTGCAAATGTATCATTTTGCAATATCACTGAATGGACTTTCTGTATTTGATTGTATCAGTTCATCTGGTGGCATAGGCAACATATGTCTAATTAAACCTAATTTACATTCAGCTTTCCTAAGACACCCGAAGTTATGCCTTACCAAGGCATTGCTTCTGCATGAAGTAACCTTTGGCTATTCAACAGTTGGCAGATATACCCAGGAGCCACACAGAAATATGTGGTCAGCAAGTGTTCTGGTTTCAGCTGAGACAGAGTTAACTTCCTTCACTGGAGCTAGTGTGAGGTTGTGTTTTGGATTTGTGCTGAGAAGAAGGCTGATCACATACTGATGTTTACAGTTGCTGCCAGGACAATCAAGGACTCCTCAGCTTCTCCACTGTGCCAGTGTCTGCAGGTGCAGGAGAAACTGAGAGGGAGCACAGCCCCAGCTACTAGCCTAGGATTCAATCTTAGGTTTAGGATTGAGACCCAAATTGACCAATGGTATATTCCCATGCCCAGGTACACTGATGAGGATCTGCCTGGAAGTTTTGCTCTCTCCAGGTCAGCTCTCTCTCTCTGGGTCACCCCCTGCTTGGGGTCATCTTGCTCTCAGTCATTTCTCGCTCTCTCAGACACTCCATTCCAGGACTGCGGTTTTGGGACTCTCCCTGCTCTGGGATCATTAGCTGGGAATGGGATGAGCCTTGGTCATCTGCTAGTGAGCAGTATCACTGTGTATCACTCATCTGTTTATTTGTATATATTATTATTGTTATTTTTAATATTTTGTAATTTAATTATTAAATTGCTCTTATCTCAAGTCACAAGTCTCTTTTCCCTTTACTCCTTTAATTCTCTCCCCCACCTTCAGGGCGAGCAAGCAGCTGTGTGGTGTTTGGCTGCCAGCTGATTGGGTTCAAACAACAGCAGCAAGAAATCACCTCTGTGAGTGAAAAAAACACAGGTGTTGGTAATACCAGTGAAAAAGGGAAGATTCAGCTCTAGAAACATCTCTTCTACCAATCAACTACTACTATATTGTACATTCTTCTTCAATATTAAGGAATGATTTTTCATTATTCATATTGCTTGGGATTTTGCAAGCCTCATTCAGGCTCTGGCAGATCACAGAACTGCTAAATGAACCTTGAGATGAAAGAAGAGAGGCAAACAATAAGGAACAACTGTTCCTGTTGGTTGAGATATACAGGGTTGTACAGTAGGACTAAGAAGCAAATGACCTTGCAGGTGAGGTTTTTTTTGTTTCCACAACAGTACTTAAGGCTTTAGTTTATAATCACATTTACACCACACTATTTTGTAACTATTTTACTCACAATACTGTTGTCAGTAAATTGAGAAAGCTGATCGTATTATTACGAAATATGTAGAAAGCTTGCTACTGCAGACAATGCACTTGACTACCAACAAAGAAGGGGAAAAGGGTAGAAAAGAGGTTAAAAGGGGAAAAAAAGTGAAAAAAAGGAAAAAGAGAGAACGAAGGGAAAATAGAAAAGAAAAAAAATAAGAAGAAAAAATAAAATTATAAACCTTGCAAGAAAATTCAAGATATAGTATTTATATAAAACAAGGTCTGCAGTAATATCACAAAATAGCATGTGGAAATTATCTATGCTACTGCTGCAAAGTATCTAATTGGGTTTCTAGGTAACAACCAAGGGAAAATCAGGAGTAACAATATACACTATCTTACTTAGCAAGGACCACATTCATAAACTTTATACCTTAAAATCAATTTGCATGTGTATATGTAAACAAATACACACAAATATTTTAACATGCATTTGATCAGCAGCCAAGTATAAAAACAGCACTAATTCTAAACAAAATCAGAATTACTTTAATTGTTGTAAGAAATCATAGCAGGAAAATTAACCATTTAACACGACCTACTTACAAAGAAATACCCTCGAAATGGGTAAAAGTAGAACTATGATTTTAAAACCTTATATAATAGATATAAATAAACTAAATGCCTTTTCTAAAAAACATTTCTACTGAAATTTGGTGGATTTTCCTATTTACAGGGGACATGAAATGACTACATCAGTTAAACGTTTAAAACTCAAGGTCTTCTGAACAGTCCAATTTGCTGCATTGCCCTAAATATTATAACAAATATTCAATAAAAAAGCTTCACAGTCAAGAAAAAGCTCAATTTTCTTTATTTCAATTATGACACAGAAGATAAACAGCAGAGGAGAGTAACAAAATTAAATGACCAACAGTATAAAAACTCTGGTATTTTTCACTTTCAGGCACTTTTGTAACTCTGAAAATAGCATGGTTCAACTGTTTATTTGAAAGGAGAAACATCTCTCCCTTTAGGAATTCAACTTCCCAAAAATTTAGTACGCTTTTAAGTGAATCATCATTCATTTTAACTAGAATAGCTACTTCATGATGAGCTGGGCCCCAAGGAGAAATAAGCAATCTCAAATTCCATCACAGAATGCTGAAGGCAGTCACATGACAAAAGACCTCTTCAAAATGGTATTTTTTAATGAAGTACATATAAATCAAGTTTCTCACATAGTTTAACAAGTAATTTCTAAACACGGTGTTGTAAAGAACATGATTTTCCTAACCTTTCTGAAAGCCACCAGGTTCCTAGTATAGCTCTACACATTGTGTGAATCTTTAAGGAGATAACCCACCACCCAGACACCTGATCTCAGTGAAGCATCAAACCACTCTGTGTGTGCATGTCACAGAAGCTGCAGACTAAAGCCAATGAAACCAACTATCAATGGCTTAAACCACAGGTCAGCACACACAACAGGGTTTGAATGAGGAATGTCATACCCAACCCACATATACTTTAGCACTGAAAAGAACAGACACCACATCCTTCAAAACAAATAGTGAAAATTAAATCTAAACAATCTCAAGCCTGTTTTTTTACATCACCAGCTTTCATCAGAGCCTTAATAGCTCTGGCCCTCATCTCAAGCTCCAGAAGCTCCAGCTGCTGTGCTGATGGCTGAACGTCTTCTGACGGAGGAACAGCTAAGGTTGCTGCTTTGGGCTCTTTTGGGTTGGACTCTGCCAACCCCAAAATCTCATTCACGCTTTTCTCAATGTCCTTCTGAAGGTCATCTATCTGACCAGCTCCACTTCTGACAGTGTTTTCTTGCACATCTGGGCCATCCTCTTCATTGCATGGGCCTTCTATGTCACTATCATATGCATCTGCATTTATGCTGAGGACATCACTATCTTCTCCCTTGCCTGGAACACAAATGTAACAATCATACAGTTGCCAGACAGAACCATTTTTCTTTCAACTTACAAAATCACTTGTGCTTAAAGTGTTTCTGTGCAGATTAAGAGAGTGGCAAAAAGATCTATGAATTGAAGACAACCAATTCCTCTTCTTTCTCTTCTCCAACTTTTAAGGATTATCTAATTTAGACAAGTGGTAATGCATCTTTTATGCCAATTTAGAAGAATATGCAGTATAGCAAAGCAGCAGTACCAGGAAAATTTATTCCATCCTATGGAGTTACATGATCTATTTTCCTAATTAAAATGTCATAAGGTTTTATATAACAAGGAAGCCTCTGCAGTGCAAAATTGATTATTGTTTATTATCTTTAATGTAAACTTACTTTTCAAAAACCAATTTTGAAAACGACACTTTAAAACTATTTTATGTATTTTAAAAGGAGACAGACACTACAGCCAGTCACAGCACTAAAAATAAACAGAAATTCCACTTATAGTACAACTATTCAGAATCTGTCAAAAGTATTTCAGATGTATTTAGCTCAGTAAAAACATGGGGAAAGTTATAGCATTGGCTTTTAGTGCTGGCTTAAAGTTGGAGTTTATTTAAAAGAAAAAAATTAGAAAAAGACAATGCAATAAAATAAAAGGAAGAACCTGAGTAACTGTTCTCACAATTTGGCTCTGGGTCATCCCATTCTCAGGGCTGTCTTGGTCTCTCAGACACCTGGGCTCTTATTTCTATTCTGGGACTGCAGGACTCTCCCTGCTCCAAGACTGTTAGCTGAGAAGGGGCTGAGGGGGGAGGGTGAGCGAGCAGCATTGTAGTGTCTTGCTGCCAGCCAGGGTAAAACTACAACAGTCCTTCATCAACCTTTTTATCTGTGGAAACTTACAGTAGGATTGATTCGTGCTTAAAATGAACAATTTATAGTCAGATGATGGTAAAGTTACTGATTCTAAAGGCTTTATAATTGCTTTCAGTAGTACCATTATCCAAAGGTTGTGTTCCCTTTTAATTAATAATGAGGTTTGGTTTTAGAGTTAAAGATTTGTGCTTTTGAAATACATGTAATTTCTTACTATGAAGATTCAAGGAAAGTTTACATTCCTAAACTACGTTATAATGATCCTCTATACATCAAAAATATTCTTTATTTAATATATATTCAATCAGTATTTCAAACCTGTTTTTTAAATTTTCTTTAATTTTCCTTTAAAAATACGGGAAAGTATGAAGACAAGGGAGCCAAACTCTTCCTCATTACTGCACACTGACAGGGCTAAAGCAATAGGCAAAAATTAAAATACATCAAATTCCATCTGAACACATGTAAAAACTTTTTTACTGTGAGATTGTGGAGTCTCTATCCTTCCACATATTCAAAACTCAATACCACACGGTGCTGAGCAACCTGCTCCAGCTGACTTGCTTGAGCAAGGGGACTGAGTTTGATAATCTCAAAACAGCCCTTCTCACCTAAAGGATTCTGTGCTCTCTGATTCTTAAAATTAGTATGTTGACATCTGGCTTTAAAATGTTCTCTTTCACCAAACCGTTAATTTATTTTTTTAATTGCTAATTTCATCCATCCACCCATACATCCCTCCCTCTGGTTCGTGAACCTCAAATCTGGAGGGCTAGAAGTACTGATTTGCAAGGATTGCTCATCAACAACAAAACAACCCCTATACTGGAAACCCAATCAAGTACCTCCCCTGTGAATTGCTCTTTTTTACTATCAGGCAACCAGAATCATGCTGTAATTCAAACAATAAAAACCCCACCACTGATAAGGCAGTCTAACACAGGCTATCATTTTAATACTTTTAACTAATTGTCCTCCTATCACTGGCGTTTTTGATCAACATGCTCACATTTAATGTTTTACTGTTGGCAAACTTATGGAAATATTTTTTAATAATTCTTCTCAATAAGAATGTTCCTTTGATGTGGGTTTCAGATCCAAAACAAACAACTCTTCCCTTTCAAAAAAGAGTAAAGCAACTTTAAACAACATTTCTAGAAGTCTTTGTTTTATGCTACTGATGTTTCAGTGTCTTTTATTATACAGGAAATACGTAAAAATGCAAAAAAGAATGAGAGACTTTTCTTGAAAAGACTAGTATGAAGTTTAAAAAACTCCCAATTTGCATAGCAGTTTCTATTTTCTTCTTGACTTTTTGTGCAAGCCCCTCACACTAGGTGGAAGTTCTGTATAAAGATTAGCAGTAGAGTACAGATTAAAAAAATCAAATTGTTCCTTGTTCAAAATCAGTTTAATCAGTCAACCTTGGAAGAGACCACTTTTAAAAGAAAAACAAATAAGGCTTTAGAAAAAGATTACTCTTTTTAAAAACATTTGGTTTTAATTCATAAGCAGCACAGAAAAACCTTCTGAAAGACCTGTTTTTCTTGGGTTTACAACGTTCCTGCTACCCAGAGGGTGTAAAAAACAGATCAATACTGACTACTAAGAAAGCTATAAATGCACTTTCTCTGCTTAAAAAACAGGAAAGCAAGGAAGGAGGGAAGAAGTGAAGGGAAGGAGAGGGGAGAGAGGACAGAAAGAAAAAGAAAGCCAAATTTTTTTTCTGGTAAAAAAAAATATCTCTAAGTGGTTTTATAAACAATAGTAACATTTTAAAACATAACTCCAAGGGTTTTTACTGATTCAGGATTAAAGACTTTTTTTACCACATACACGTAAAAGAAGATACTCAGATATTTGCTCCTGATCACGGGCTAAGATCTGTCTCAGCACTGAAGTCCCAATTTAAGAACACAGCATGTTGCTCTGACTGAGAATGCACTCCTGATTGAGGACCTTACATAGTTATCAATCCAGTACCTCATAACATTGGTTTACTGGATCGCAAAAACTGGACATCATTATGCATAAATGCACACAGCATATATGGGGACATATATAGCTAACGTAAGAGGCACCTCCAACATTCTAATCAAAGCTGACAAGAAAGCAAACTGAACATTGGAAAATGTACAATAAGCAGTATACAGGTGAAATTTACAGAGAACTTTTGATCTTTGTTTTTTGCAGGATAAACCACAATTTTCAAGCAACAAAAACCGAAAGCCCAAACCATAAATTGTTCTTAAGCTATAAAAAAAATCATCCTCATGGTAGTGTGTATAAAATATACTCATAAGAAATGAACACAACAGGGCCTTCTTCAATCCTAAGTAGTTTTGCCCTGTTCCTGCTGTGACAGTATATTCAAGATTTCAGTTTCAGATGCAGTTTTACCTATTTCCCATTCTATCAAATCAACTTTGAACACTACCTTTTCAACATTACTTTGCAAGACCCAAAGTATGTGAAAGACCAAAAAAATGGGAATCAACATAATTAAGAAATGGAAATTATTCTATCTTGCTGAACAGCACCAGTCAGTATTTACATGCTACTCAACCAAGCAGCATTTCCATGGATCAAAAATTAGGTGCACCAATGGATAGTAGTTCAAAGACTGAAAGTTAACTTTTGAGCATACTCATCCTACCTCACTGACAAAGAGAAACTGACTTTGTACTGGCTCTGTCTGGGATGGAGCTAATTTTCTTCACAGCAGCCTGCATGGTGCCCTGTTTTGGATTTGTTTCTGAAATAGTGTTGATAACACACCCATGTTTCTGCTAGCGCTGAACAGTGCTTGCACAACCTCAGGGCTTTCTCTGTTTCTCACTCTGATCCCACAGCAAGTAGGCTAGGGGTAGCCAAAAGGTTGGGAGGGATACATAGCCAGGACAGCTGAGTCCAACTGACCAAAGGGATATTCTCCACTATTTGACATTGTGCTCAGCAATAAAAGCTCAAGAAACGGAGGAACTGGGGATATTCACGCTTATGGCATTTGTCTTCCCAAGTAACTGTTATGCATGCTGAGGCTCTGCTTTCCAGGAAGTGGCTAAAAATCTGGCTGCCAATGGGGAAGCAGTGAATAAATTCCTTATTTTGCTTTGTTTCAATGCACAGCTTTTCTTCACTTGTTACTGTCTTTATCTTGGCCCATAATTTTTTCTTGGTTCTGCTCTTCTGAACATCTCTCCCATCCCATTTGGGGAGGAGTAATTGAGTAGCTGACGGGTGCCTTACTGCTAGCTGGAGTCAACCCACCACAGGATTCCTTTTGGCATTGGTCACATATTAAGTAGAAACAAAATATTAAGTTATTCATGTCTGCTCCAGAATTAGTATGGACCAGGAAGCAGTGCAAAGCTACCTTGGGTTCTATTCAGAATTTGGAGCCTCCAAAACTGTATAATAAGTGCTCATACAAGCTTACTGGCCTACAGATGTTTAATTAGATGATGAGCTTTATTTCCCTCTTTCGCATTTGTAATTTTACCCAGTAATAAAGATCATGTTTGGCATTTCTCACTATCTTTTTAATTTTTATAACTTCTACTTTTTCCTTCAGCTACAGTTGTGAAATTCACTTTAGCACACAATTCAGTTTTTTAATTTTATTTTATCCACTTCTGCTTACCCTCTCATTGTCTCTTTTTTTCCCATAGCATCACAGGCTGCACTTCAGCAGAATGATTAGTTATATTTTTTAATTTATGTTGATACTCTCAAAAGCTCTTTAAAGCTAACATCTTGAGTGAAGCCACTGCTATAGCCCAAAGCCATCGTGATACTCCAGTTGATTAAGTCATAAAGACCAACAATGAAGCAATCACCTGCAACAGTCATCAATTCCCTTTGATAATACAAAAGTGGAAGGGATTTGCAGGAAATCTGTCAGTTCTACGGTCACACCATATAGTAGGACAAGCAACATTTAAAGCATTCCTCACAAAGCCACAGCAACCTGCTCCTAAAAGTTTTGATGCTTTAATTAGGACTCTTTCCTTGTCCTTTTAATTCCCCTCACTAACTACTTCAGAAGAAACCACATTTCACAAAGTTATTCCAGGAGACATCTTTTAGAAAACATTCTGAATTGTGAAATTGCAGCTGCAGAAAGCAAATAATGCTACACCTTCACAGAAGAAAAACATAGCTTATAAGAATTTAAAACGTTATTTGATTGGAAAAGCTATTTCTGATGTTACTGCGTACAGCTAGTCCAAATGAAAATGAAATAGAGTGAGACAGAAACACCTACAATTCTAGTGCTTCATGTATGTAATAACAGTGGCAGTTGTGCTGATTTAAAGATTGGAATAAAACAAATACTGCTGCAGGTTAAGAAAATTGTTTCCTTATAGAGAAGGTACTCAAACGTGTACCACTATCTGTTTTTGCATTTTCTATTCTGCCAATCACTGTAGTACCTGAATGTCTCCCCTAATACATTTTTGCATTTAAAAGGAGCAAATATACAAGAAAAACCATTCATTCTCAGAGATTCCAAGATTTGAGTGTGTTTTTCCACTGGCATTGACTTCAAGTAAAATACGCCAGTTATCGCGAGTGGTGGGTGTTAAGGACCATTCCATTGGACCTCAGCTCCGCACAATGAAACGAAGCAAGGTATCATATATCAAGACTGAACAAAATTACTGAATCATAAGCAGTCCTTTGGCAAACAATTATTGCAATGGATTTCAATGAATGTCAAAGCAGAGTACTGTAGACTCTTATGATCATCTCAACAAAAAGTAAACCTGACTCTCCAAGAATTCAGCAAATGGTAATAGCAGTATTAGCAGTCACCTATATACCAAGAAATTGAAATGACTGAAGTTCCTCTTCAGCTGAAAAATGACATATGAAGAGCCAAATGAGCCTTGCAAGAGCTTCAGTCATGTTCCAGAAGCTAAGCTAGCAAACTTTGAAGAGCTGAAATTTGCTTCTAGCCACAAAAAACTCTCCAACCTCACAGAACTAAGAAGCCAGAATTCCTACAACATCTCCTTCAATGTTCCCCTCTCCTTTTCTGGAACTGGGCCCAAGGGAGAGGTTGTAACCCTATGCCAGCTGATTTCTAAGAGGATGATTCTCTGTGATTGCAGCTACTGCTCAAAAGAGAGTTATCAGTTAACTGCAATTAGTCACTGTCCAACAGTAAGAAAACAGATTTTCAGCTTTTTCCACTATGTACCTTGTTTTGATTCCTGGCCTTCCAGCTTATTGTCTTCTCTCAGAGAAGAAGTAGAGTCTATACTGTTGTCCTGTCTGGAAATAAATAAGACAACATTTTAATTTACATATTTTACAATTTAAGAGAACTTTTCAAATAAATGTTTATCTAAACTAAAGAAATTATGGGGTAGTAGGCCAACAGGCCAGCTACAGTATGAATAAAAGCAGAAGAAATGCACAGAGTGCTAATCTAAACACTTGAAAATGAGCTTTTTTTTGTTTTGCCTAGCAATACACAATGATAAAATGAGTACTTCCACTACATCCTACCTAGCCTTTCAGAATTAACAATCGTCACTGGTAGCCCCTTCCTAATATTACAAGTTTTTATCTAAAACTCTGAATAATTGTCACACGATTAAATTATTTGAAAAAATCATAGTTTCAATTGCATTCAAATATTATTTACCCTTTCCTTTTGAAATTAAGAAGCTATTTTCATCAAGTTACCATCACCCCACCACCATCCACTTCTACATCACAATCTCATAGTTTCACAAAGGGTCACTTTTTAAAACAAAATGCAACTCAACTGTTAAATTGTATTTGGTATCTGCATTTCTCCGCTTCTTCTATTTAAATATTTCTACCCTTGACCTGTCAGATTTCAACTGCTTTATACAAGTGCTAAGGAAGAGAGACTTGTGTGAAATGTTCATGCTCTTCACACATTTTGCACATACTAGTTATACAAACTGTGAAAATACTGTGAAACATACAGGAAGAAGGAAGGCAAAAGGACCCACACTCACAGGAAGAGTTAAACTGCCATATTTACTGAGCATTTTGACAGTGGAATTTTGAATTTCCTACCATGAATGTTGGTGTGGCACTGGTTTCATACATATGAATACAGAATCAATGCAACTACCCTGCCTGTGGGAGCTAAATAGCACTATAAAAAGGACAGCAGTATTCTGGTATCACAGATATAAATATAATTACTTTAACAACTTGGTTTTCAGTAGCAGCCTGCAGACTTTTCCTAAAATTCCAGACAGATCTATTTTCCCAATGCTCTCAAAGATATTTTTTTTTTCAGGTGTCCAATGGCTATGTCAGGAGGAAGAACACTGTTAATACTTCTAGCCATCTTGGTCTGGGAGACACAGTTATTTTTGACTGCTATTTCCTTTTCTGTAGTGGCAAAGATTACAAATCAATAGACTCTTCTGTTTCTCCCTCTTTTTGTACCGATTGCAACATAAATGTGTATGGTAGCATGCAGTAATTGATTAAGGAGAACATGTAGCTGTTCTCATATGCACACAGCACCTGAAAAAAAGATTTTTAAATGTCCTGCAACTTAAGTAAGGAAGGCTTAAGAGAAATGTACTGTCCAATGCCATCATAATAAACTAGGAATAGGCTATTTACTATGAAGCATTTTTCTCAGAATTCAGTGGTATGTATCCTTTTAGTTTGCTTTCCTACTTGGTCAACTCAAGAAGTATTCTCCCAGTCTTTTAATTTCTATTGGACTTCCCATTCCCAGACAGGGCGGAAAGAGAAAGTATGGATACAAACTAGATGTTCAAACAGGTATGCCAAGCAGGAAGTTCTGTATATATACATAAACTCTTCAGAAAATCTATAAAACTTTGCCTCTTCACAAAGAGAGCTTGCACATTTATTTTCTATCCCAGCCATCAGTCTTGTACTATAAAGGCCAGAGGTGCTGCAAGATGGATTACAGCCCTCACCTGTTAGATGTAAAATAAGCCCAGGAATTCAACAAATAAAATGAGGTTTGGTGTACGTGATGGTTTAGACATGTTAAGCAGGCTCTCAATTTTTCAGCTGTCACGGGGGAAAAGGAGCATGGGACAACATGACAGCACCATGTTCAACTTGTTAAACAGATCAAGCAGAGGATACACTGTGAGGAAAACTTTTGCACTCATACACACACCCATAAGGTCAGAGTTAACTGAGACCCATCCCAATTATCACTTCAGTGAGCCTACATAACCTAGGCCAGGGGAGCACCCCCTCAGCACTCCAAGTGCCAGGCTCCAGTTTAGGACCAAAGCCTAACTAGTCCTGTGCTTTAAGACAGTGTCAGATGCCTGGGGAGCAACACTTCCTCACCCACCTCTATTACTGGGTGGGGCAAGGCCAGATGCCAGCACAGACCACCAGATGTATCTGTCCCTGATGCTGTCCCAGCACACTTTCCCAGAAATTTCAGGCTTTGCTCTCCTGTCATTTGCCAGGGGTTATCACATTCAGTTCTCCATTGTATTGTCCTGTCCATTTGGTTATGCATTTAATGGTGGGTCACCATAAGCACAAAGGCCCAGTGAGGAGCAGGGGAAAACCACAAGCAGAGGAGCCCTAGTAACTTCATCACTGCAGTGGAATCACCCTGCCCAAGTTGCTCCTAGGGTTGTGAAAGGAGAGCAACCAGCCCCTTTTCTGGGAATGAAAGCTAGTAAGAATAGTCAGCTAGAGAAATCACCTTATGGGCTGAATGGTGTTACTGTCTACAGGAACAAGGGGGTCTGTATAGGATGCCAGGGAAGAACATTTCAGGACTGCATAAAATGTACTGGCAGATGTTTTGAAGGGGACTGTAGGAACATGTAAGGCACTATGGGATGTTTTAGAGGAAGAACCAAACACAGGAAAAGAGAGAGACCGAGGCAGATTGAGAAAGAAGAAGCAGGGAGAAAAAAAAAAGAGGGGAGAAAAAAAAGATAAAGGGCCAGCAGAGCATAAACAAGTTGCAGGTTAGTACACTTGTCTGACCAAACCCTGGACTTGATCGCCACAGTCTCTTCTGCCTTCTTATTGAACTGTATTTTTATGATAACTATTTTTCCAAATGAGAAGACAATGTTCTCTGTACATAGGCACATGTGTAAGTGCCAGTAACTGCACAGGCACATGCAGGACTGTGCTGCCAGTAACTACACAGAACAGAAAACATGCACACTTCCTTGGGGATCTTCAATGTCACACATCAATGTGTATGCAGATGCTTGTAATTTACCAGCAAACCTCAGGCTAGTCTAGCCAACAAGCAGGATGAGAGGTCTAGGAGTCGGGTAACAGACAGTCTAGAGGCCATTTTCCCGAAAGAGACTAAGGTGTGCAACTAGGCAAATGGAGGGCCCACAGCTCCGCTAGATACTCAAGAGATCAACAGTCTGAGTGTTAGCTACTGGGGATGACCATAGGTCTACACCAGCTATCACAGACAGCCTTGTCTACAAGGAGGTCTGACCAGCAACTGGAGTGGGAATGCAAACCTTGTGGGCTTCGAAGTCCAGGTGCCAGCAACCGGAGAGGGCAGTGGATCTGGGACCAGTTACTCATTGTGATATACCCTGCTCATCCCTAAGAGCAAAAGCTGCTTAGGCTGCACGTGTATCCTCCCTCATACATGCGGTGCATCAGTTTGAACCAAGTAGTCATCTCTGCACTTGACAGAAATGTGTCACTTGGGAAAGTCTGATGTTGCACAAACAGTATCCAGGGTAAGAAACTTCACACCTCTGGTATCACCCGGAGCTACAAAGCCAAATTTTACTGAGGAATTATAATCACCCCTTTAACAGAAAACTCAGAGTAACCTCTATGGTTCAAACAGTGGCTGTGAAATTACCTACATTTTACCAGCTAGATAAAAATTATCAATTGAAAAAAAATCATACATGAAAACTTGTTGTAAAGTTTCTGCCTGACACTGTCACAGATTACAGCAAAACCATGTTCCTTTAAAGACTACCATCAGGAAAAGAATTTTTAGGACCCAAAAGTACTTCTACAGCACATTTTACTCTTTCAGAATTGATCGAATTGGACTGTATTGCTGGTGAACCTTCACTACTTCATTTAATAGGCAGGTATCCTGCACCATCTTGTGGCCAAGCAGGAGCATTTCAGTTCACAGTTCAGCTTGTTTAATTTATTAGTAAGAAATATTTTTTTCCTAATTATCTATACTGCAGTACAGATTTAAGGAAGGGCAGCACAACATCATGTCTCCAAACAATGAGAGCAGAAAACATGCCAAGCTAAAATTAAGGCACAGTATACAAATTTCATAGAGTGAATCATAGAACCATAGAATGGCCTGGGTTGAAAAGGACCTTAAAGATCATCTAGTTTCAACCCCCCTGCTGTGGGCAGGGTTGCCAACCACTAGAGCAGGCTGCCCAGGGCCCATCCAGCCTGGCCTTGAACACCTCCAAGGATGGGGCATCCACAACCTCCCTGGGGAACCTGTTCCAGTGCCTCACCACCCTCTGCGTGAAAAATTTCCTCCTAATATCTAACCTAAATCTTCTCTTAGTTTAAAACCATCCCCCCTCGTCCTCTCACTATCAACCCCTGTAAATAGTCTCTACTCCTCCTGTTTAGAGACTCCCTTCAAGCACTGGAAGGTCGCAATGAGGTCTCCCCGGAGCCTTCTCTTCTCCAAGCCAAAGAAGCCCAGCTCCCTCAACCTTTCTTCATAGGAGAGGTGCTCCAGCCCTCTGATCATCTTTGTGGCCCTCCTCTGGACTCATTCCAAGAGCTCCACATCCTTCCTGTGCTGGGGGCCCCAGGCCTGGACACAGTACTCCAGATGGGTTCTCACAAGAGCAGAGCAGAGGGGGAGAATCACCTCCCTCTCCCTGCTGCCCAGTTAATGCAGCCCAGGACACAGTTGGCCTTCCAGGCTGCAAGCACACACTGCTGGCTCATGTCCAGCTCCTCACCCACCAGGACCCCCAAGTCCTTCTTCGCA